GAAGAGAAGAGAAGAGAAGAGAAGAGAAGAGAAGAGAAGAGAAGAGAAGAGAAGAGAAGAGAAGAGAAGAGAAGAGAAGAGAAGAGAAGAGAAGAGTGTGAGGGATCAATAGTGTACACGAGAAAAGGGTGATGTGCGTGAAAGGGGAGGTCGATGGTTTGCCCACTGGTGTGTGAATGTGTTATTTACCTGGACAGGCTGGGGACCAAAAAATGAGACATTCACCTTCTCCTGAGAAATCCCCCAACACAGTCTTACATGTAGACATGCATGAGCACATTTATTAATGCACACACAAACACAAGCAGAGGCACATGCGTACATTCTTATACATGCACAGACTTTAGAGAAAACTAAAAAACAAACACAAAGCAGACTGGAGAAGACCTGAAAAAGGGGGACATCAAATGTGAGGACCAGCGCAAGTCATGTCATGTTTATGAACACTTTTTACTGCTTTGTTTGATGAACAGAAATAATGAATCAAAATATTTTAGTGATAGGGAATGTTTCTCTCTGTCAACAGATGTTTCAGAGCAGAGCTCAGCCTCCCTAAGGCGCAAGGATACTTCACTGTCACTGTTTTCACTGAAAAATGTACATTTTAAAATATTTATTTGTATTTCTAAAAATCCCCAAATAGCTTTAAATGTCCAAATTCTCTCTGTGTGTTCATGTGCGGTGTATGTGTGTTGCATGGTTTGGATGTCAGTTTCTTTACAGCATCTCTGACAGCCAGCATATGATCCTGAGACAGCATGACAGCTGTCTTCATGCCCCTCTTAACATACACACGCTCATCTGCCCACCCACCCGCACTGAAACACATAGAAACACACACGTGCACAACACAGCAAATGACAGATTTGCCACCTTGTGACAGACCTGCTACATCTACCTGCAACCGTCAGGCCCAAGGATAGAGAGGTGATTGGTTGAGGATAATATGGAGGTTGTGTTTAGTGTGACTCGAGGCTAGACAGGAGACAAATACAGGGATGGACAAGACACCAAAGGGCTGGTGGATAGATGGATGGATGCCAGGGGTCAAGAGAAAATCTAAGTGAAGCTAGAAGATGCAGGAAATTAGAAAAGTGGAAGGAAAACACGAGTAATGAGGGAATGAGAGAAAAACAGTTTTACAGATAAATTATATAAAGTTTTTTGCCAAATTGGCTATTTATGCTGAGGCTGGAGGGAGCGGACTGTAAACTGAGCTGAAGCACAAACTGCAACAAAGCAAAAAGCTACATAGGGATAGATTTTACTATATAGTAAAATGCCACATCATCATCGACTTCAAAGCAAACTCATTTGTACAAGGTTGCCCCAGGCCAGTTTTCTTAGAGGCAGTTCTAACCCCTAACCCTAGGGGAACAAAGACCCTTAAACTAAAAAGTGCCAAGGACATGCGGTGTGGGGGAGATCAAGGGTGGTGGCATTGTAGTATGCATCGCTGAGGTGCCTCCATTTGAGTACAATTGTAGGCACCATCCTCCTCACTGCACCCTAATCTGATGAGACAAGCCTGACATTCCACACCATACAGCAGAGACGTCTCTGGTTTTCATACATATGTGCTCAGACAAACATATGGAGAAGACGCAGAGGTTAAGGAAACAACAACACAGACAAGAGTGACAGATTGTTAGGGTTAAAGCTGAAAGCAAACATTACCTATTAGTTTGCTTTTCTTGTTGATCTTTCCATCTTTTCCTGCTCACCAATTCCATGTCACGGCTGAGAGAACCCGCGTCTCCACTGTCGATGACAGACGTGTTGTTGGAATCAGCGTTGCGTTATTCATTTACATGCTTCTTTCTTTGCATTTTGCTGTTCTTCTGCTGTTCACGCAGTCCTCCAGCATAGGCACAGCAATCTGTGAAAGACAAAAACTTGATATGTCACATGACAGCGATGAGAAAGTAAAGTCACACAAAGGCTCAAGCAAAGTAAAATATCCAGACTTTGTCATTGTGTTGTAAAGCTACGATGAATATGAAAAGTTGCTTTTATACAGTTATTTTTTAACTTGAGATGCAGAGGTTACTGATTTAATACTTCTACCTTCACAAAGCCTATAAGCATGTGCTTCACACAGAGAACCTTGTGTTGTGCTTGAGGGCGGTCTCACCGTCGGCCTTTTCCCAAAGCAGAGGTGATGTGTCCACTAATGTCAACATCGCAGCCAGGGTCAGAGCACTGTCAAAGACCCTAACGCACAACCTTTTCCAGCTAACACTAACCCAGTACGAGTGCGTGATAATGTGCGTGCCCAAAATGCCAAGTGCTCCCCTGTCCCTTCTCAATATTTCATCTGTTGTCTTGCTTTACCTTGCTTTAGGTAATGGCCCAGTCACATAACCCATTTTTCATATGTTTGCCTGTATTTGTGTATTATACCTTTTAGTGATAGAGGATTTTTGTCTGGTCTGTACTTTACTCTTATTTGCTATTCAAAGTGATAGATTTATAACATGAGCATGCAAAAATGTGGCTTTTGCACACGACAGTGTCTCAGTTGAACTCATTCCAGTTTTACATTAATGATAACTTTGTTAGTTACAAAGAACTAGATTTGCCATCAAATGGGGGTTTTAAGTCAATCAAAAGGAGCTCAGTATGTAAGATGTGGCATAAATAGTGGAATATCATTATTATCCATGGTTATAATTTACATTTTGTGTCCAAATCGCCACAATTCTCATTGTCTTTTAGATAAAATGCTAAAAAGGATAAAAATAAAGGTGTAGGAATTTGTCAAAATGATGTGCTGGGTATAAATTCCCATTTGAATTTGAATAAGACATTTTTGTCTTTAGTTGCGTTTTTTTTTTTTTTCTTTCATTATTCAGCAAACTTTATAACCGTGCTTAAATAGCAACTATAAAAGCAGCTTTCCGTGCCGCTTATATATATTCCTTTTATCTCAATACACCAACTTTTCTGGTTATTTCTTGGTCTCAATTAAAGAAATGTATTCAAAAGTCAGAGCTATGCTATATATAAAGTATATGACACAAACATAATATGCCATGTACTACATATTTCCTGAGCATGATCTGTCAAGATAGAACAGGGACACTGTAAATCAGTTACAACACACATGAGACGCTGCACTGAAGGCATGTAGGTGTTGGAGCGTGAAGGGCTTTCCCTGCTAATGCAGATATAATGATGTGACTATGACTATATCAACGTCAGCGTGTGAGAGTCTGTGTATGTTGCCTCTTCTCGGGGACAGTTGTGCTGCTGATCTGCAAGACAATTCTTTGTGACTCACACCTCATGAAAAAGAAAGTTAAAGATAGATAGAGGTAACAAGGGATAGACAGAGGTTGATGAACAAGAGAAGACAACATCTATGTGTTGTTTTGATTGTGATGAGAGGCAAGTGAAGTCGACAGTGAGTTGGCCTACATTCATGTGGCTTAATGTGTGAGGGGAAAACAGAGAGACAGCTCCGTGTCCATCTAATTATTCATCCAAGGAAGGCAGCGAATGTTATGTTGCTAGGTGTGTTTGTGTGTGGGTGCATATGCTGGGGATAGTGAGCATTATGAATAATGTGATTCCCAACCAAACTTAGTAAGATGGGGAGAATATTTATAGATAACCAAAATAAAACATAAACAAAACATAGTAGTGTTTTGTTTATTTGTTTACATTTACATAAAAAAGCATGGACAAATGGTTGTAATGAAAATAAATATCATGGGAATTAAAATGAATAGATGCATGCTTGAAAAATCGAGGCTACTATTTGTGCTTTAAATTATTATTGTTGTTAAATAACAAAAAAAATCAATTAAAATGATCACATTTTCAACATGAGAGTTTCATGGATGGTCAGTGAAGGGGTGCTTCAGTTCACTTTTCAGGCTTTTCAAATACACTAGACACAAAAGGCTGAGAACTGGTGATCTAGACCACTTGTGCAAGTGAGTGTGTGTGTCTATATCAGACAATGTCACACACTTTTTTTTTCCCAAGGTGACATACTAGATAACATTTTCACTTTTGGACTCTAAAAGTAGTATTAATCTCCATCAAACGTCCCAAAAGACATTCACGTGCACAAACACACACAGACACGGCCCATATCACAACGGTTGTCTCTGGCATTTCAGTGATTTAGAGCATCATCCCTGGTTGCCACCAGCGTGAAGCTGTGATCTTCACATATATGACACCTCAGCTCAACAAGGTGCACACACACACACTGAAAGGATGTCTCTGCTCTGTCTCTCCTGCCGTCACATTCTCACTTCCTGATTTAGACAGACAGAGACCAATCCTTTGGGATACAGAAACACTTCTCTTTCGCTCCCTCCCTCCCTCCTTCCACGAATCTTTCCCCTTTTCTTGATCTGCTGCTCCCTCTCGTGGGGATGAGGGAAGGCAGGGCTGGAGGTTAGAGAGATGGATGCGGGTGATACACCGATACACAGTCAGTCTCCTGCGGGAATGGTGTGATAGAGAAGAAGAGAGAGGGACAAGGGCAAGTAGAGGGGAAAAAAAGTAGGAAGCTTATTTCTCATGGCTTAAGAAGACAGAGAGGAAACAGAAACACAGGAAAGTGATATCTTGTTTTAGTTTCATGTGTTATTTGTACTGTGTTCCAGATATATATTAAATATATATACAGATACAGATATACTGCTTAAACTGGATGAGTTATTATGATCTGTACTAACCCATTAAAAGGAAAATATTCCGAGTAATTCAGCCTGACTTTTTTAAATTTCTGGGATCTCCTTTAACATCTGAAATAAAGTTCTGTCCCTGTGCAACTTGAGCTTGTAATGACTAACCACTGCTTGTTAAGGGCTTTGAATGTCCACTTGTTTTTGTCATGTCTATCTCTCCTCTAAAGAGGATAGGCATGTCTCAAGCGCTTTTCCCTAAGGCTTTTTACTTGTTACACAACCTGCTGTTGTGAAAAATCTACAGGCAAGTCTGAAAACCTTCCCAGCACTTCTTCTTTTTTGTGTGCCATATCTATAAAAACATCCCTCAAATTTAACCCAGAGTAAAGTGCAGTGTAGAGATGAGTAAATACAGTATGTTATATTGCATTTTTTCTTTCCTTTTTTATTTACTGTGAGTTTGAAGATAAAAAATGTTTCCTCAGTTCAAGTTTGGAATTTTTTTCATGACATCCCCCACATGCAATACTACCATACGTTATTTAATTATAATAATTATAAGTTTTTCTTTCAGCTTTTGTATCAGATTCTTACCAATAAATCAAATCTGTTATCTTGTTGGTCTGTCAACTAAAAATACAGTGGCTATCCTAATAGCACTCTTTTTAACTAACACACACCGATGTATGCATCAGGAGCAATCTGGGGTTCAATATCTTGCCCAGAGGCACATTGGCAGTGGACTGGAGGGATTGGAGACTGAGACGTAGCCATTCATGATACAATAAACCACAAATAAAGATTTGAGTGTCGGTTTGACTGGGGTGCATTTTGATAAATGTAGCTTTCTGCCTTCACATGGTTTGGGTGTGTTTTGTATACATCTGTTTGTGTGCAAAATAAGGATATGCTTAAAGAAAATAAATAAACATTAAATGTATTTCTCGCATTTCTATTATCTTCTATTTATTTTGTTACCTTAAAAACTTTGAAATGAAATTAATTAAATGCATTTTGATTTTTGCCTTTAAACCTTGTTGTGATGATAAAGGCTTCCAGAAACATCTAGAAATGCATATAAAGGCAAACAGCATAATAATGTGAAGGACAGAGTTTGGATTATTGAAGAGCTTCTAGCTCATCATCCATCCATTCAGCCAGCCCTCAATTTTGTTCTACTTATCCAGTTCAGGATCACACAGGGGGATGGAGCTTATGCCAGCTGACATTGAATGAGAGGGACACCTTGGACCTGTTGTCTTTCCACAGATGGACAGACACCTTTGGCCATTTTAGAATCACCAATTAACCTCATGTGCATATCTTTGTATTGCTGGAGCCACTCAGACAGAGAACCCACAGAGGGGCACAGAAAGGCCACAAACTGGATTCAAAGCCAGAACCTTGCTATGAGGGCTCAATACTAATTGCTACACCAGCATGCTGCCCTGTAGCTTAACAGGACAAACAAAATGAAAACTTTTAAAACTTACAAACATCAATAGTCGGTTGAGGGGGGTTGCTGTTTCTGCAGCAATGAAATGAATTCATAGAAATTTCAGCAATTTCAGATCTATACCTTTTAGACAGTAACAAAAATACATTTTTAAACACACAGAAACAGATCTAGAGTGGAAGATTGTAAAAAAAATGATGCTGAAAAAAGAGAGACAACCAGTGAATGACTGACTGAGTAACCACCAGAAAAAGTATAAACTCTGAAGCCTGCAAAATTACAGTACATAAAATCGCTGGTGTAAACAAAGGGGATAGTACATGAAATTACTGGTGTAGGCTACCGTGATACACTGTACCCTTTATTTCCTGCGTGCTTTGAGAGGTGCAGCGACACATGGAAAGTTGACTTCTAGAGTGGTGTGAGGTTTCTTTTTGCTTCTCCATGCTTGTTTCTGCTGTCACTGCTGTCAGCAGCCGCTTTAGGTCACTGAGAGGCTACCGCCCCATCTACCTGTGTTTTAGCACATCACACGCTGCACTGCACAAACACACACACACACACACACACACACACACACACACACACACACACACACACACACAGACAAGCACATGCTCATAGGTAGAGTCCACTAGCTGAGGCAGACTGAGGAGCTGCCCAGGAAACAGGGATACAGGGATTTGTTTATGTGGATTGAGTGACCTGGCAAAGGAAGGGAGAAAGGGAGAGGAAAGGTGTGTGGGTGAGCATTGATGCCTTTTTGTGATGAAGTAAAAGTGATATGTAAATAATAGATCCCAGAGATGAATTATTGAAGGAGTACATTGATGCTCTCATGGTGTGGAAGCAGGAGCTCATTCATGAAAAAAGGTTTGTGGAGGAAAGATGAAAGGGTGAGGGGGGAAACGGTGTTGCTATGTCAGCTTTCAGTTCCAACACAGCGACATACACTGATGCACACACACACACACACACACACGCACATACACACACACACAGACTTTCAAACCACATTCATACAATCATAGTTGTACAAGTTTCTCAATGACGATGGGAACAACTCAAAAACAGAAGGAATGGTGCCCACTGTTATTACAGTCCAACATACAACTTTAAAAACATGTTAGCACTTCTTAAACGATCCATAAAATGTATATCGGTTTAGCATGTTTTTAATATCTTTGTAACTGGGTATTGACTGATATACTGTTATTGTATCTATGTTGATTCTCTTTATTAATTTTGTTTCATTTGTTTTTCTCCAAAAACTTAATGTGCTGCTGTAATCCCAGTTTAGACACTTCTGCAAAAGATATTTTTTATATTATTTAATGTTTTACAAGGAGTCATTCTCATTCTTCTCTCTTACTATTTAATACCCCCAGTGATATTTTTGCTATTTTATATTAGGTCAAAAATAATTTCATCATGTTCCTGAGAATATTGTTCCACGCATTACACTTAATGGGATTTAAAGAGGAAGTAAAAGTGTGAGAATCTCTGTCAGTCAGAATGAAACACTGGCTTCTGGCTCCTCAAATGGAAGCCGGATATTTAACAGAGGCAGGACCCTCCACCCTTAATACACTCACCATTACACAGCCTTGCTTTTGGGTGTTCTATAACGCCAGATCCTGTTGAGCTGACAGGTGACAGAACAGTCCACATCAACATACGTCTACTCTCGTTTGCTCCAAACACACACACACCACACACACACACACACACACACACACACACACACACACACACACCCTGCTGCGTGTAGCATTACTTACAGCTTCAGGACATTCCAGGCTGGACATGCCAAAGGCCAGAGGCTGCTCCTGTCACCTATCAGCTGGTGCAAATAATCTGTAGTTTGTTTGTTTTTGTTGTTGTTGTTCTGGGTTGTGTGTGTGTGTGTGTGTGTGTGTGTGTGTGTGTGTGTGTGTGTGTGTGTGTGTGTGTATACATCTATCTTTATGAGGACAATTCAGAGTTTCCTGCAGTCTGTAGACCATGGTATAAGAGGATAGATACCACGGACTGTATTTACAGTTGTCTTTGACTCAAGATGACTCTGGCTACCTCATTTCAGCAATAAGTTAACATTATATTGCCCCAATGTCAGGCATGTTGTGGTATTTAGTCCATATTTGACCCACATAATATTAGCTAGTGCCATGGGATGCTGATCTACTTAATTCAAAGTCCTTTCTCCTCTTATAATGCTTCTGTTAAAATATACTTTCTCCTGCGTTCAATTTAAATCGGTATAGAAAATCTTCCACCTTGTTGGCACATAAATGGCACATGTGTAATGAATAATGGGGGTATTTTAGGTAGTATTATTATCATTTGAGAATTATAAGATTGTATCTATGCCAGGAGCCATAAGTCTAGGCAATACACAACATTTCGCTGGGAAGTCCTGTGGTTATGACCCTAACCATAGAACCATCATAAACACTATTTATGTCTTTTCTATATCTGTACTAATAAATGGAAAATAAAGTTGTTGTTTTTTTTAAAGGAGTCTCAGAATGAAAATGGGCCTGGTCTGAAAGCCTCCCTAACATGGATAAGAATCTGCATTACTTCTTGTCATCAGTGTAGTAGTCAGTGAGTAAGTCATGGAGCTTTTGTGTTGGGGTACTACACATGTCACAGGGAATAAGACAGAAGCAAAAGCGAGATAAGAGGAGGCAGCTGCCTACCTAGAACTGCTGGCACGGCAGCCAGGGGCGGGGCCAAGACAGCATGGCACACGTCGTCTCCAGACACCCTTTCTTCTCCCTGCTTCGCCACAGGCTTTGACAGGCGGCACGAGAGCCCCTTGGCCCAGTGAGGGGTGGACAGCCATCTGACAACTCCCCACCTGCATGACCTTTACCATGCTTGACCCCCCTACAGGAGACAATCACCTCATAGCAAACAGCCCTACGGGAGATGTAGACACACAGTGCAGTCAGGAAGACACACACAACAAACTCAGACATGCATGCCACACACACAAAAAGTCAGGTTTAAAAAGGAGACATCCTATTAAAATATTAGGACATTTAATTTCCAATGTTTAAAGGGAGGCAATTATTTACATTTTTAATTCACTTGTCATTTTTAACTGACTCATTCATTAGCTCACATCCGCATCTATGCAAATCAATTTACAAATCAATTAAAATGCAGTGAATGTGAATGTGTGTGTGAATGGGTGGATGACTGGTTGTGTAAAGCGCTTTGGGGTCCTTAGGGACTAGTAAAGCGTTATACAAATACAGGCCATTTAATACAGGCCATTTACAATCATGATTACACAAAAAAAATAGCCTTTTTTGAAATGGGGCTCTGAAAAAGCCACCCAGTGCTTACAAATAGGGCCCCAGACAACCTGTGGACAATTTAGAATCACCAGTTAACCAGCATGTATTGGAAAGATGCCAGAGTACCTGTATGCTTTCCTCTATTTTTTCTATTTTCCATAAATCCATTTTCTACAAGAGTTTTTGGGAAAATGTTCTAATAGCTCAGTAGTCCATATGTACAAGCAGGCTCAGGCTTCAGATATTTTCAACAGTATGTTTTAGTCAGTTTTTACTGACTTGGCTCATTGTGATGTCAGTAAGAGTGGCAAATGATGGTAATCTCAATCGCACATCTCTAGCTTTATGGCTGAAGCTCCGCCCACCCGCTGTTTAAAACTTCTGTTTTGGACAGGCAGCCAGTAAGAACATCTAAACGTCTAAAACAACTTATTTAAGACAGTGGATCAAATGAGGAGCTGATAGAAGGCATAGTTTAAAATAATCCTGCTTTATCTGCTTAATCTGAGATTAAAAATATGAAGATTAACTGAAAATTCATAGTGTAGACCAAAGTAATTATTTACAGCATTAATGTTAAATAAATATTCTCATTATGTTTTCACTATAAACGGCATATTTGCTAAATGATATATGATATTAAAACCTGTTAGTCTACCTTCATTACATAAAAATACATTTTGGTTATAAAAGTATATTGTTTTTACAGAAATCAAATCTTACTTTAATTTTGTCATCACATTTTTAAACCATATAAGTAAACCAAATAAGTAATGTGTTGTTAATAGCAGGAGCAGGAACCATATCCTACTATAATTTGGTCAGATGGGGGTTTCTGTGTGAATGCATCCACAGTCCAAAGACATGCATGTTAGGTTAACTGGTGATTCTGAATTGGCTGTATATGAATGCATGTGGTTCTCTCTGCATTAGCCCTAGATAGACTGGAAACCTGTCCAAGCGAAGCGCTAAAAGAAGGCCCTAGGGTTATGCTGGCGCTCATCAAGCATTTAGTTTATTTGCTGTCTTCTTTTATGGAGGTCTGTGAAAATTGATATCGCTGAACTTACAACCAATTTTCAAGTGCTTTTGCTTGGTTTTTATTTTGGGATAAAATCTTCTGATTCACCTTTAGCCTCTCTGACTGACTGGAAATGCCCCTGAAGCTACCCAGGGTGTCCTGCACCTAATTAGGAAAATTCAGTTAGTTTCAGATATGACATCAGTCTCCTTAAGTCGGTTTAAATTGTAAAGTAAAGACACTATAAGAGTAAAACCCCAACAATCAGACTTGCTGTGAGCCAGCACATGGCAACAGTGGGACGGACAAACATACTTTTAACAAGAAGAAACAGAAGGAAACCTTGCACAGTCCAGGCTCAGGTAGCCATGTGCCAGGAGCGTAGTGGCGTGGTGGAAAGAGAAGATAAAATCTAACGATACATGGTGGTGTATGAACACATGTGGAGCAGGAAGATCAGAGTCGAGAAGAAATTCTCATTGCATCACACAAAGTCCCATTGCAGGAAAACCTATTCCAGCATAAGTAAGAGATGGTTCAGGATCACCTGACCGAGCCCTAACTATAAGCATTTTCAAAAAGTAAAGTGTTAAGCCTAATCTTATAAGCAGAGTGGGTGTCTGTCACCAGAATCCAAAATCAGAGCTGGTTCCATGGGAAAATAAGACTCTGCCTCCCATTCTGCGTTCAGAAGCTCTAGGAACCAGAAGCCATCAGCCCCAGAGCGAAATGTTGTAGTAGGATTATATGATACTATGATGTCTTTAAAGTATGATGAATACTGTTTTTTCAAGATGTTGAATGATAAGAATTTTTGAATTAATTTGCATCACTACATCTTTTGTTTCAGTAAATGTGAACATTTTTGCTTTTTAAAAAATTTCTTAATGCAAACTACTTTAATACATGATTTTCTTCTAAAACTGGATTGATTACCCAGTTTTTCCTCCCTGTAATCCTATTAATGTAGATTTACTGATAAAAACAATCCAGTAATTATGCAAATTATTATTATGCAATATCACAAAAACTGCAGTCTTAAGTCAGCGCAGCGCTGAACACTGCGTAGCTCTACGTCATCAAAAGGCGTCGTGGCAGCGTGAGAGGGAAAACAAATGCCAGTGCGAATTGCTGTGAAGTAAGTAGAGCATTTATCATTAAAAAAGAAACGGCTATAAGGTTATGAAAGCATTCTGGCGATGCTTAAAGTATTTTTAAAGCTGATAAATGATGGACGCTGCGCAAAATATGCATTTTCCGTTCGTAGCACTTTAACAAGTGTCGTTAATCGAAACTAACCTGCCTTTTCCATATCTGTAGGTTACTGCTCCTGCACCATAACGCTCTCTCCTGATTTCTTCCAAAACCGCGTGTCGGTTCAGTTCTAATGAATCCAGTAATTAGACGGGGACTGCCTCCGTCCGTGAGGAGTCTTCTCACAGACATCGGTCCAAAGGAGGAGTGGACGGATGAGGAGTCCGAAACAGTGACCAGAGATGGCATTCTGCTTCCGCACAGAGGAGCTACGTCTGGAAATGAGCTTCTCACACCTGCCAGGAGCCATGATAATGCTCCAGAGGATGGTGGTGTCTCTGGAAGAAGTGGACTTTGCATGTTGTGTAAAAGTAAACCTCCTTGCTACACCTGTCCCAGGTGTAACCTGCAGTATTGTGGCCTGGAGTGCTACAAGAGCCCTGATCACTCTGCATGCTCTGAAGAGTTTTACAAGGAGTCTGTTCTACAGGAGCTGAAGGAAATGGGGACAACTGAGACTGAAGGGAGAAAGAAAATGCAGGAGATTCTTGTGGGACTCAAACAAAAGGCAGAAATGACACAAGGGGGGATGGAGAGTTTGTTAAAAGAGGCGGGTGTTGTGTCAGATGACACAGATGATAGGGAAGGAGAGGCAGCTGAGAAAGTGCAGGCTGTGGAGCTCCTGGCCAGGTTAGCAGAGCTTCAGCAGTCTGGAGAAGAGAATGCAACAGAGATTGAGGATATTTTGGGAAAACTTGAAGAGATTGGAGGAGGTGCGCTGATTCCTGGAGACACTGATGAGGATGCTGAAAGTGCACAAGGAGAGCTGGACTTGGCTGATCGGCTCTCAGGGCTGGAGATTGACAAACTTTCAGAAGAGGAGCTGTGGGAACTTCTCAACAACAAAGAGAAAGAGAGTTTTGTGAGTCTCATGAAGGATGGAGCTCTTGGTGGCCTGGTTCCCCTTTGGAAGCCATGGTGGGAGGAACATGAGGAGGGAGGCAGAGCACTGGTGGAAGTGCTTGAGGAAGAAGTAAGCAGACAGGAAAGAGAAACTGTGACAACTATGGAAAAGCAGGACATTGATAATGGAGTGAAAACCTCACAAGGTGTTCAGAAACGAATCAAATCAAAGCCAAAAAGCTTGAAAGGAGGAACCGGGAAGGAAACGAGCAAAGGCAAAGGAAGTTCAGCAGTACCCCTAATTTCTTCAAAAATTCCAAAGCTGAGTTCCTTATGTCCAAATCCTTCTCCTCTGGTTTGCTATGGTTTAGTGAATGCACTTTTTGGATATGCTTTTACCCTGTGCCTGTTTAACGGTGACACCGATTCACTGATGTTTGAGTTCTGTGACATGATTCTTGCTCTGTCTGAGGCACTGAACTCAAGCAAGGTGTTCACCTCTCTCCAAGAGGCCTTAGGCTGTGGAGAAGCTCTCATTTTAGATGGAGGTTACCTTGACAAGGAGGACCTTCTTGCCCCTGCCAGGGCCATGGAGGCCGTGGCTCACATCATGACTGGCAGAGACAGAAAGGATGCTGCTGGATACTCCCTGGCAGCCTTGAGTCAACTTCGTTCTGTGCTCTCCCGGGCCAAAATGGCCCTGTCTAAAGATGGAGAGGAAGTGGAAAAGAGACGGAAGTACTTCCTGGCAAGCAAGAAGTGTGAATTCTTTCAAGCCTGGGTGCTGGACAATGTACATCAGATTCATAGACTGGCAGTTGAGCTGTGGAGCGAACACAGAAAAAGAGAGATTGCAAGGAACAGCATGCAGAAAGCCAAGACTGAAGTTGAGAATTTACAGAAAGGGAAGAGAAAAGATAGCGATAAGCTGATTGAAGAACTAAGTTAAAGAAGATTTGGTTTAACGTGTTGATGCAAAAGTTCATGTTGTAATAAAATGCATCATATTCTCTCATATAGTCAAATTCCTACTGGCAATAAAAGCTGATATTTTCCACTAATTTCTTTGGTTATCTTTCTTGTATTAATTTATTTTAATGAGGAGAAAAATAATTTAAAATCTGTTTAAATTTCCTGTATAAGCCATAAGAATTTTATATTAGTCAAACTGGAAATAGAAGAGTTTTCAATACATACGTAGATGGATACTTTATTCATCTCCAGGGGCAAAGTCAGAAATTCCAGCAGTAACACATTAAGTGTTACTATTTTGTAACAGTTATTAGGTGATATACAAATAAGATATAATTTGATATGTAACAAAAGGATCAAGTTTCCACCTTAAATTTGAAACTACAATTTCTGAAACTTATGAATTACTTTAAAAGGACCTTTGGAGACAGAGGTCATTTAATACATTTAGAATGATTTATCCGTAACTGACAAAATATCCGATTTTTGTATGTATAATCCTCTGTCTTAATAGTAATTTAGATTTCAGAGCAGTAAAACTATCCTCATCTGGACATTTTTTGTCAGTTAATTGTAGCTCATACCTCTCGCCCTATGGCAGCTGGGATACACTTTTAGAAGCGAAAGAGAATAGATGGATAGAATTACAGACAATTTCATACTAGCTTTGGGAGAACTGTTATAGTACTTGAAAACCTTACTATTGAATTAATAAGTGATGAGGTGAAACTGTACATGTGTGTATTTGTTTTTCCAAAGGACAGTGGTGATAGAGTTCAAAAGAACTGACATAAGACTGCAAGGGAGCTTGAGCTGTTATGCAGTGAGTGTGGGAAACACATCCAAATCCCACACATGCAAGTTTTCTTAGTATTGTTCTGAATGCACAGATTAGTTCGCAATACGTTTTGTTATCTAAGTGTTAATTTATTATTTAGGTTTTCATGGTTATAAATGAATCCAAACAGTTCTAGAGTTTTCGTTATGGCTGTTATGTTTTCATATCTTACGTCAAATAGGAAATTATATAGTGCAGGAGTCTCAAACATAAGGCCAGGGGGGCAGAATTGGCCGGGCTAAGACTCCAATCCGGCCCAAAAGAGCTTTGGAAAATGTTAGAGGGCATAAATTTTCGACATCTTTCTTTTATCAGCTTTTTATACTGATAGAGCTCTCCGCCAGGGCCGTTCATACTATAACAAAGTAATTAAGTAATAGTTAAATGACAGAGAACTTCCTGTTATTTTAGTTTTATAAAGTGCATCCAAAGTGAAGAAAAATCGGAAACTTTCTTCAAACTAACAGAAATTTTCTGTTGTATAATTACAGGATAGTCAGGGCAAGGACCAACCAGACATTTTTCTCTTAATTTAATTTCGTAAAGCTTAAGCCCTTTAATCTACAACAGCTGCATTTTCTTAATCACACTTAATGTCTGAGACATACATTTTAATTTTTTTTAATATTAAGAAAGCTCAGGTATTAAATGTGTAGTTAAACTTTACAGCGACATTACGAGAAATTTCACCCACTTAAGATGTAGTTTGTAGAGTTTGACATCCCTCGTACAGTGCGAAAGTAGATTTTTTTCCTCCCTAAACGAGTATGATAAAAACCATAAAATAAAACACTGACCTGAACCATACTGTCAAGGCAAAGAATATAAACAATATGTAAAGGTTAGAGATGCTATTATACATGTATTTTCCAGCCTTTAGCCATGTCCCAAAGAACGTTTCTTTTCACCGTACGCCTAGCGCCGCTCTCGCGAGGACTTTTGGCAAGTCACGTGGTGCGGATGTTCTTCCACGCTGCGACAGAAAACATGGCTGCGCTCTTGAGATCATCCCGGTTACTCAAGTTTTCGCCTTCGGGTGTGCTTCAGATCACATGCACCAAAAGAAACGGACCGACGCTTGGTCGGCTGTACAGCGGGGCTCTCTGCGGCAGAAGGACCGGAGTTTGTGCCCGACAGATCGGACCTGTTACTGAAAACGCGTCCAGGTACCAGGCATCTGTGATTCACGCGTGAGCATGCAGCAGCAGAGATGTCATTGAGGCTCAATGACACCCAAAGGCACACGCAAGTGTTGACAGATATGACCTGCTGCATTGAATGTGGTTTGTTATCATGTTAGGATACGTTATAGATCACGTAGGTAACAGCTCAGTTCTCGTTGGTTAAACATGGCTACCAGGTTATGCAAGGTGATGATGAGTTGTTGTGTAACCAGGGTAAACTCACTGTCTGTTTAATCTGTAATCAAGCCGGTTACTATAATCTAGTTCGTAATGAAGCTGTAACTGTTAGCAACCAGTTCCTGCCATCAATTTGCTCCCAGCTGTACACACGCTGACTTTTGGGCCTATCACTGGAGACCAGTGTGCACTGTTACACAGCAGCCACGATGATGCGGGTAAATTGCAGCCTAAATGAACATTTATAGTATTATTAATGAGCACGAAAGAAAAACTGGCCCCAGCTGATATAGAAGTGATGGCTACTAGCAGCCGTGGAGCTATTTGGAGGGACTTTTTCTTCACTTCAAGGTCACAGGTCTGGCTTTCACTGTGTACAGCTGTGTAACTGTCTTTGACAACATGCCTGTTGTTGTGCAGTAAACACATACTGTGATGGTGGGGCAGACTTTCTGAAATTAAATATTTCTTTTCTCTGATATGCATCCACAGCAGAACTGAGTTAGTTATTTTTCTGCTGTTGCATTTATACCTGTGGCCTGTATCTTCACAGTCGCGTGTGGTCATATGCAGCGGGGTGTGTGCGTAGTTTTTCTGTGGCCACCGAGCTAAAGGATGAAGCCAGCATTGCAGTGCGCTCCAAGCAAGCGCAGCAGTTTGACTGGGCCCTGACCAGGCTGGACAGTTCTGTGAGGAGGACCGGTCGTATTACCAAGACCCTGCTTCTGCGCATCTTCCATGATATCTGCAGGGCAGGTAGGCAAGAGGATGAGCAACCACAGAGGGACCTTTAATAACGGATGCCTGCTAACGGACATTTGAACTCTTTGAGAGACAGTAATGAAATGTTTTGCTTTCTCTCTCCTTCCTCATCTACCTCTGCAATCTGCAGGCTATCCCAGTGGTAACCAGGCCCTGTTGCTGCTCCGTAGCTGTGGGTCCCTGCTGCCTGAGGTGCCTCGGGAAGAACGCACTGACCTGGCACACCGTGTGTGGGAGAAACTGAAGGAGTTGGGTAAGGGGCTGCGCTAAGTAGAGTGTTTGTTTATCTTGCACACACAAGAGATGTGCACTACAAAATCCTAGTTGTGTAGTGAGTGTTTTGTATATGTTTAATTACCCTGGCTGCACATTGTCTTCGCTAGGTGCACAGTATGATGTGAGCCACTACAATGCTTTGCTGAAGGTTTACCTGCAGAATGAGTTCAAATTCTCCCCCACTGACTTCCTGGCCAAGATGGAAGCGGCTAATATCCAGCCCAACAGAGTAAGTAGTGCAGTGCAGAGTGCTGTAATGTCAAGAAATGCATAGTTAGATTTGTGTTCTTGGTCCCATCAGCTACATGAAGAGAGTATTTCATTTTGTTAATTCTAGCTGTTTTAATTTGTTTTATTTTATGCATAGGTTACCTACCAGAGGCTCATCGCAGCCTACTGCCAAAATGGAGATATTGAAGGAGCCAGGTGGGTAAACGTTCTTTTCTTAATAGTAACCTGTCCACTGCGGGTACTTTTGCTGAACTAACAGTTTCACAATTCAGATGAATGGAGTAGGTGTCTTTAAAGAAACTATTTTGGTTACTCCTAAAAGTCCACATCCATATAACACCATGTGAAATGTTTTCATTGAACCCAGTACTACTGATGAGATTGTCTCTATTTCTACTGACTGCAGTGTGACTTGTGAGCACTGATCTTGCCAGGCGAACTCTCCTCCTCACAAATTTCAGTGTATTTCCTGAGTGAATGACCCATTCACTATTGTTTTTTTTTTTTTAAAGGAACAGTGCATATTAATTAGCATGAGCATTTATATTCATCATGTAAATATGACTTTAGTCATTTGCAGTGTTGGGTAAGTTACTTTAAAATAGTAACTTAGTTACATTACTAGTTACTTCTCTCAAAAAGTAACTCAGTTACTTCAAGTTACTCGTTACTTTCAGAGTAACTAGTTACTAGGGAAAGTAACTTTGGTTTTACTCAGAATTCTCTTGTTAATGTGTTGCTTCCGTAACTGGATACCCAGCCAGACTGCCAGTCTTCTAGCTTGCTTACTTGCCACAGTGCACTGTGCCACCTACCAATT